TAAACATAATCACAGTTATTAGGCTAAAGAAATCTGTACAAAAGTTAAACTAATCATATAATCAATAACCTTCCAGAAAGTACATAAATATATCAGTCCCACAGCGTGTTGTGGCTACACCAGATATCATCCCGCTCCCTCTTCAAGTCTAATTTAAAGCCCTGTCAATAAGACTGGCTAGCTTGCAAGCAAAGACTGTCTTCCCTCTTTGAGAAAGTTTATTCCCATCTGATGCCAGCAAGCCAAGTGCCACGTCGGCCATCCCATTATCAAAAAAACTGAAATTGTGGGACTGGCACCAGTCATGAAGCCATGCATGTCATCTGTCTGGACTTCTCTAAGGCCTTTGACACAGTCCCCCACACCATCCTTCTCTCTACATTGGAGCGATAAGGATTTGATCACTGGACTGTTGGGTGCATGAGGAATTGGTTGGATGGTTGCATCCAGAGGGTAGTGGTCAACGGCTCAAAGATCGGTGACATGTGGTGTCCCTCAGGGGTCTATATTGGGACCAGTACTTTTTAGTATCTTCATCAATTACATAGACAGTGCGATTGAGTGTACCCTCAGTAAGTTTGCAGATGACATCAAACGAAGATGTATAGTTGACACACCGTCCCACAGCTTGTCGTGGCTACACCAGATATCATCCCTCTCCCTCTTCAAGTCTAATTTAAAGCCCTGTCAATAAGACTGGCTAGCTTGCAAGCAAAGACTGTCTTCCCTCTTTGAGAAAGTTTATTCCCATCTGATGCCAGCAAGCCAAGTGCCACGTCGGCCATCCCATTATCAAAAAAACTGAAATTGTGGGACTGGCACCAGTCATGAAGCCATGCATGTCATCTGTCTGGACTTCTCTAAGGCCTTTGACACAGTCCCCCACACCATCCTTCTCTCTACATTGGAGCGATAAGGATTTGATCACTGGACTGTTGGGTGCATGAGGAATTGGTTGGATGGTTGCATCCAGAGGGTAGTGGTCAACGGCTCAAAGATCGGTGACATGTGGTGTCCCTCAGGGGTCTATATTGGGATCAGTGCTTTTTAGTATCTTCATCAATTACATAGACAGTGCGATTGAGTGTACCCTCAGTAAGTTTGCAGATGACATCAAACGAAGATGTATAGTTGACACACCTGAGGGATGGGATGCCATCCAAAGGGACCTGGACAAGGTCAAGGAATGGGTCTATGTGAACCTCATGAGGCTCAACAAGGCCAAGTGCCGGGTCCTGCCACCTAGGTTGGGGCAACGCCCCGTATCAATACAGGCTGGGAGATGAAGGGATGGAGAGCAGCCCTGACGAGAAGGACTTGGGTGTTGGACATGAGCCAGCAATGTGCACTCGCAACCCAGAAGGCCAACCATATCCTGGGCTGCATCAAAAGAAGTGTGGCCAGCAGGTCGAGGGAGGTGATTCTGCCCCTCTGCTCCGCTCTGGTGAGAACCCACCTGGAGTCCTGTATCCAGCTCTGGAGCCCTCAGCACAGGACAGACATGGACCTGTTGGAGATGGTCCAGAGGAGGGCCACCAAAATGATTCGAGGGATGGAACACCTCTGCTATGACGACAGGCTGAGAGAGTTGGGGTTGTTCAGCCTGGAGAACAGAAGGGTCCAGGAAAACCTTATTGCAACCTTCCAGTACTTAAAAGGGGCTTATAAGAAAGATGGGGACAGACTTCTTAGCAGGGCCTGTTGCAACAGGACAAGGAGTAATGGTTTCAAACTACAAGAGGGTAGATTTAGACTAGATCTAAGGAAGATATTTTTGACAATGGGGGTGGTGAAACACAGGCATAAGTTGCCCAGAGAGGTGGTAGATGCCCCATTCCTGGAAACAGTCAAGGTCCGGCTGGATGGGGCTCTGAGCAGCCTGCTCTAGTTGAAGATATTCCTGCTCACTGCAGGGGGGGTTGGACTAGATGATCTTTAAAGGTCCCTTCCAATTCAAACTATTACATGATTCTATAATAATAATAAATACTGATAAAGGAATATACAAAAATAAGCGATGCACAACGCAACAGTTGCTCACTACCCAGTGATCGATAGCCTGTCCCAAGACGCAATTTCCACTCCCCAGCCAACTCCAGTTTATGTACTGAGCATAACATTATATGGTAGAGAATATCTCTTTGGACAGTCTGGGTCAGCTGTCCTGGCTATGCCCTTCTCAGCTTCTTGTGCCCCTCCTTGTTGGCAGAGCATGGGAAGCTGAAGAGTCCTTGACTGAGTATAAGCACTACAACTACTTAGCAACAATGAAAAAAAATAGTGTGTTATCAACATTATTCCCATACTAAATCCAAAACCTTATACCAGCTATTAGGAAGAAAATTAACTCTATCCCAGCCTAAACCAGGACACAGCATCAAAGAAAAACTTCTCTCATGGGCCATCTCAAATTTAGTTCATTGCCTTTTGTGCATCATTCTTGAAGAATATCTTCACTTTCTTCCATAGAACAGCGTTCAACCCCTCAGGGCCACATCCACCTTGAGGATTACATGGGGCACAGGCACATGTTGGGATCCAGGGAGGTGGGGTGGAGGTACAGAGAAGCCAATCTGTACATTGAAGTTGAGCACAGATTGAATAGGCTTATTTTCTGCTTCCCTGCTTGCCTTTTGTGTTTTCTTTGGTTTTCCCTCCACAAGTTTGGCACTTTTCCCTTGAGCAGCTATAACTCATTTCTTCATTTTTCTAACGCCCATGATTCCGACAGTCTTTCTAAAATTGTTCCTGGTGCCGTGGGTGCCCAGGGAGGAGCGGCGGCAGCACCAGCATCCCCACCTTCTCTCCTGAGGCTGCTTACTAACTGCCTTGTAAGCAGGTGAGAGGGACAGAGATGTGTCCTGAGACCCGTATCAAGGTGATTTCCAGGGGAATGACGGAGAGGAAAAGAGGTCACCACGGCCTCCGGCAGCATCATGGGCTGAGGAGTGTGTTCCTGCCTCTTGGCTCCTGGCAGCGGTGAATCCCTTTTGGCACGCCCTGACATGCTGAGATAGCACAGCAGCACAGACACTGCCAGAAGCAGCTGCAGGCGTCTGTCCGGCTTGGCTGGGCTCACTTGCATGGGCTTCCTCAGCTTCGAGAAATGCTGCCCGTGAGACCATCACCCTGTAAGAAGTACTCTGGCTCTTTCCCGTGAGCAAAGCTGTCCTGTGCTGTGCTCCACCTGTGATCTTGGGAAGCACCGAGACATCGGAGAGTTAAAAAGAATAACCTGTATGTTTGAGGGCATTTTGAAAAAAGCAGGAAATGCTGGTATGTGGATAATCTACATGTAAATAGTTGCTTTGAGTTAAAGTATTAATTTAAAATAAATGTGGGTATCTCACAGGTTGTTTTTTTTAAATAAAAGTATTTCATTTTTCTGTACATTTATATGAATAAGTAGGTAGACTAGTAAACAATCATGATGACTTTTCCCTCATGCAAACCCTAATGTTATCTTGGCAATTTTGAATGGCACCTCTATGAGGCAGATAAAACTCACTGGTGAAAGGCCAGAATACCTTAGAAAAATAATCAAACTATTAGGAACACATGTTTTTGTGAATTCAGATTTTTCACACAAGAAAAATGTCTCGTATTTTTCACTCAACTAATCTGAATGCTTTTATTACATGTTTTCTAACATGCTGTTCTCATCAATAATACATCAGAGTTTAAGAAAGCGTCTCAAAGGATGTTAACGATAGCTGGAGAGACACAGACAGCATCCTCAGCCCTCTGCCTGGAAGAGGAGATTCCTTCCCCATGTGAAACTGAGATTCTTAAACATCTTTCAGCTGAGCCTGTTCTTCATAAGCAGCAGCCTGGTACTGGGGTGCTGCTTGCTCATAGCTCACATCCTTCAAGTGTGCCCAGCAAGAAGGGCTTATGCTCTGGGCAGGCGGGAGATGCCAAGGGAAGGCGCAGTTCCCCAGGCAGCAAGAGCATGGCTCTGCCCCTGTGAGAGCTTGCAGGGAGCTGGGGAGCATCGCGGCGTTGGGATCAGGGCGGACGGGCCCTCGGCTGGATTTGTAAGCTGTCAGAAAGCCAAGTGACAGAGCAGGAGGTTTAGGAATGCTGCATTATTCAGGACTCATTCTGAAGTTATAAAAGCCTGACCTGTTGAGGAAGATTGGGTGTCGTGGGGAGATCACCCACTTCTAATCACTTTCTTCTCTGTATGACTGAAAACTGCATGAAGCCCTTTGGTTGCTTGCATAAAAATGTCTTTTAGCACCCTGAAAACTTGTGATTTACACCTAAACTGCTGTCTTGTTAAAATGTCCCATGGATACATGAGCGTTACTAGATGCAGTGGCAGATAGAAGTCTGATAGGATTCACCCTTCACCATATAAAAATTAGTGGTTCAGATCTAAGAGAGTCTCCCAGATCTTTGAGTGCCCAGGGACGAGCTCTTACGTGTGAGGAGAGCTGGGAATAATTTCTCTCACTAAGGTCTAAGAATCAAGCTATGCCTTGCCTTGCTTTGTTTTGATTGCTTCTCCTTGCCTAGCCTGGCCTTACTTTGTCTTCCCCTTTGTCATCCCTTTGCTCCTTTTTAGCCTATTTCTTCTTAATGTTCTTACATTAAATGCAGTGCTTACAAGAGCTGTGCAAGGAACATAAGCAAGACTGTTCTAAAAGGGCTTAGTATTTATCTCTTTTCTTCCTTTTTTCTCATCTGCCAGCGGGTATTCCATTTAAGAAAACCACGTCTAAAAAAGAAAGTCAAGTTTCTTTACCCATATGACAAAACCCAGTCTTCAGGCTCAAGGATTCTGGCCTTTCTTCTCTTTACAAATCTCCCTGCATGAAGGAACCCATGTTAGATTTCCAAGCATTTGTGCATATCCTGGTTAAGCTCAGCTACTCCTGCAATCACATGTATGCTGGTGTTTGTAGCCTTTTTCTAGGCTTGAAGCATGTGTGATGGTGGGCAGGCCATCAGCAGCGTCTAAGAGCCTGTTGTTTGCATTGCTCCGTATAGGGAAAATGCCCCAAAGAAAAGGCTTGGAGAATCACACTGTTGGATCTGGATTCGTTCTTCTGGGATTTTCTGGCCACTCCAGCCTGCAGGGCTTGTGCCAGTGTTCCTGGTCATCTACCTTGTGGTCCTCGCAGGGAACAGCTTGATTGCACTCATCACATTGGTGGACTCAAGCCTCCACAGCCCCACAGTCCCTCCTGGAGATCTGCTACACATCAGTCACTCTGCCAAAAACGCTGGTGGGTTTCCTGACAGAAGATGGCAGGATCTCCTTCCTTGGCTGTGCTGCCCAGCTGTATTTCCTGGTTTTGCTGGGCAGCATCAAAAGCCTTCTCCTGGCTGCCATGGCCTGCGACCGCTACATAGCCATATGTGACCCCCTGCACTATGAGCAGGGGTCTCTGTGTCAGGCTGGTGCTGGGGTTGTGGGCGGCTGTCGTACCTGTGCAAGTAGGACAGGCCTACCAGGTGTTCACTTTGCCCTTTTGTGCATCCCATGACATTCATCACTTTTTCTGTGATGTCCCCCCTCTGCTGGAACTGGCCTGTGCAGACACTTTCTGGAACAAAGTGATGCTGTCCACAATCATCCTGGTATTTGCAATCCTTCCCTTCTCCTTAATAGTTATTTCTTACATTAAAATTATCATGGAAATTCTGAAAATACCTTCAGCTCTGGGAAGACACAAAGCCTTTTCCACCTGCTCTGCACACCTGGGGGTGGTGATGCTTTTCTATGGCTCGGCCACAGTGGTCTACTTGAAGCGACACTCAAGGGAGTCTGTAGACACCGACAAATACCTTGCCCTGTTTTACACAGTTCTGACCCCCATGTTTAACCCTGTCATCTATAGCCTGAGGAATAAGGAGGTGAGAATTGCCCTGAAGAGACTCCTATGGACAAAGTGATACTACAGGGTATGTAAAATAGTCCCAAGTGTACCAGAAGTTCCACTGGGGTATATGGTTGCCCAAACAAAGGCATCCAGTATTTGTTCAAACAAAAACCACACGTCCAGCCTGGCGTTCATCCTCCTCAGGAAGGGAAAAGGTGTCCAGACATTCCTGTTATGTCATGCCCCACCATGACATCTTTGTACTGCAGAGCATCTTCAGTGCTCCTAAATAGTTTAATGCAAATAGCGACTTCAAGCTGTGTCTGACCAATGTAATGTTAAAGGGAAATAGTCAAAGCGTGGTCAGTAGTCAATGAGGCCAAGAGGGTGACACAAGCAATGTAGAGATGACTACCCTCGGGTTTGAGAAATCACTTGCTAGACCCCATGGACTATCTACAGTGTCCCTGTATGGAATCAGCTTAAAAAGTTAAAGGACATGAAGATTGTCTTCTCCTGCTATGACATCTTGCACTGAGTTGTGTAATGTTTGAGTAACTTGACATCAGTAATAAAAATTAAAAAAAAAAAATCACCAGGGGGACAGTCCAGCACTGGAATAAAGTCCCAGGGACCTGTGGAGTTTCTGTTTTTCATGATTTAATCCCAGCTGGCAAGTAAGCACCACACAGCCGCTCTCTCACTCTCTGACAGTGGGATGGGGGAGAATATCAAAAGCATAAAAGTGAGAAGATCTGTGGGTTGAGATAAAGGCAGTTCAATAGGAAAGCTAAAGCCACGCAGGCAAGCAGAGCAAAACAAGGAATTCATTCACTACTGCCCATCAGCGGGCAGATGTTCAGCCGTGTCCAGGGAAGCAAGGCTCCATCACGCATAACATCACTTGGGAAGACAAGTGCCATCACTCCCAACGTCCTCCCCTTCCTTTTTCTTCCATCAGATTTTATTGCTGAGCATGATGTCATATGGTCTGGGATATCCCTTTGATCAGTTGGGTTCAGCTGTCCCGGATTCGTGTGCACCCCCAGCCTCCTCGCTGGTGGGGCAGTGTGAGGAGCAGAAAAGGCCATGACACTGTGCAAGCACTGCTCAGCAGTAGCTAAAACATCCCTCTGTTATCAACACTGCTTTCAGCACAAATCCAAAACATAGCCCCGCACTAGCGACTATGGAGAAAATTAACTCTATCCCAGTCAAAATTAGCACAAAATTTAGGTATTGAATCTGCTTTGCACTCTGAAAGTGCCTCTTTGCACAGCCAGGCCAGTGGGTGTTTTTTAGCCCCAAGGCATATGGAGCACTGAAGCGTGTTTCCACATACGGAGCAGCTTTGCACAATGTCCGCTCCAAGAGGGAAAATACCTCAGCCTGCAGTTGGAAACGGCTGATGCTGGGGGGGATAAATGTGTTTCCTGAGACAATATTTGATGTGCATAGAGTACAAAAAGATTGTGAAGGTGAATGAGTATGATACAAGCGGGTAAACATCCAACAAGGCCTTGTGGAAGGAGGATGGGGCGGTACACGGCATGAGGTGATAGCGGGGGGACCAGCACATAGAAAAGATTTCTGTAGGCAAGACTTTACAAGGAAGCACCCTGACTTCTCCCAGCTAAAAACTAGAGACTGGGCAGTGTATTGAAGTGTTGGTAAGAAGTGTCCTGGAGTAAAAGACTTTTGATGAGAGAAGGTTGGAGAGATTTGGGTTGCAGAGACTTGAGGCAGCCCTTTGACGATCTGAGTAGGCTGAGCTTTGGAAATGAGGAAAATAAAAAAGGATGTTTTGGGATTAGTGTTACTCTCACTAATAAGGGTTTTTGGGAAAGGGAGTGCTGGGATGTCTGGTCCAGCTTCTCAGGAAAGGGTGGGGTATCGCCAGTCCCAGGGTCAGGCTGGCTGAAAGCTGAAAACCTCTAAAGATGGAGGCCACAGAGAGTCTCTGGGTGTCCTGCTGCAGTGCGGCACCACCCTCTGTTCAGTTTTTCTGAAGACCCAGAGTGAAGGTCCCAGCAGGAAGCCCGTGGCTGTTGCCTCTGCCAAGATTCAGCTGCTTTCCGGCTGCCCTGTGCCTCCCCTTCAGCAGACTGAAAAGGCCCAGTTCCCTCCATCTCTCCACACAGCTCATCTGCTTTAGGCCCCTAAGCCCATCATGACAGACTTCCTCTAGACTTCCTCCAGTTTCTCCATCCACCTTTCAAAATGGGAAACTCACTGGTTCGTGTGGCATCCATCATAACTCCCATGCCCTTCTCCTCAGGACACCCCTCAGCCGGTTATGTCACAGCACGTCCTTGTGCATAGGATTTATCCTGCCCTCGGTGAAGACCTTGCCCTTTCACCTTGAAAAACTTCAAGAAGTTCCTCTTGGCCAAAGCCACAAGGGTCTGAAAGTCCATCTGGGCTGAAATACCAACGTCAGCATTTAAGATTTGTGGGCCAGTGCCTCCAGCAAGGTAGCAAGAGGGGGAATTGCAGGCCATGCAGGTAAGGAAAGAGAATGTTGTGTTTAACTGAGATGCAACCCCTGTTGAAAAACACTACAGCAACCACCTCGGAAGTACCATAGGAGGGTACAAACCAAGAAAGGCAGAGCCAATGGGGAAAGGATTAACATTAAAAGGCTCTTCTTTTGCAGGGTAACAGAGAACAGCCTGGGCAGGGGGAAATGAAAAGGGAAGGACGTGGTCAGTGTTTGGAGTCACTTGTGAAGCAGCCCTGCACCTGATGTGAACTACTGCTGTGGTCAGGGAGAACCTGAGAGCTTTCCCTAATTTGAAAACATAGAGGGGAAGGAAGGACAGCATCATTTAGGCTGGAAGGGACCTTGGGGAGGTGTCTCAACCCACCTCCTGTACAAAGCAGGGTCAGACAAGACTATTAGGGCTTTATCCAAACACATGTGGTGACATTCTGGGATAGAACCATCTATATTCTGGAATAGAACCAGCACATACTCCCTGGGAAGTGGCTTCCGCCACTTGATTATCATCATGTTAGAAAAGTTTCTCCCTGTATGTAGCCTGACCCTCTCTTGTTTCAGGCCATTGCCTCTTGTCCTTGTGTCTTGTACCATGGACATGAGCCTGACACAGTGTGTCCCGGGAACAGTGTCGTGCCGCTGCGTGTTCCCCCAAGATCTTCCTTTCTCCAGGCTGAACAAGCCCAGCTCTTTAAACTTCTCGCATTGCAAGTGCTCCAGCCCTGAACACTGTGGTGGCCCTCCACTGAACTGGCTCCATATTCCAATGTCACTCTGGCATTATGGGATGTCAAAACCTAGGGAAGTATTCTGGATCTGTTCTCAAATGTGCTGAGCAGAGGGGGATAATTGCTTCCACCCTCTGTGCTCTTTCTCATACAGCTCAGGATGCTGCTGGCTGCCTTTGCTGATGGCTCATTTTTTGCCTAATGACACCCAAGGCCCCTCACAGAGCTGCTACCCAGCCACACAGCCCCTGGGCTCTGTCATTGCAGGCGCTTAGTTCAGTTTGGCGGAAGGACTTTGGATTTGTCCTTGTTGGATATCATGAGGTTCCTTTTGGCACATCCCCGCAGCCTGTCTATGTTCTTTGGGATGGCAGCCCTGCCCGCCACTGTGGTGTCTGCTCGCCTCAGTGTGCTGTCATCTACAAATGCTATGAAAAATCACCCTCTCACCTCCTCCAGGTCATAAAAAAACACATTAAACAGGACAAGTTGCCATATAGACCCCTGCAGGACCCTACTAGCTAGATGCCTCCAGGCAGAGTATCACACACTGTCCACATCCCTCTGAGACCAACAGTCCATCTGGTTATTTACCCATCTACTTATCCATCCATGCAGGCCTTAATATCCTGACCTGGGCATAAGAATATCGTGGGGGATGACGTTGAACGCCTTGCTGACCTCCAGGTAAAAGCCCGCCGCTGCTTGCCCTACATCCAGCACTCCTGCCCTGTCATCACAGAAAGCAAAGGGGATGGCCAGGCACAATCCCCCTGGGTAAATCCTGTCACCTTCTCTTCCAGACACACAGCAATGGGATGCAAGTGGACACACTCTGGGGCACAGCCTTAGTTCCCCTGCTCATCCATTGGCCATTTTTGAAAAGTGCCTGCAATGTGTGGGTGGTGCCATCCATCAGAGAGTTCTCCCAGTCTCCATGGCCTTTTAAAGATGATGTAGAATGGCCTCACTATGACATCAGCCTGCTCTCTCAGCTCCCTGGGATGCTGCCGCTCTGGTCCCAGAGGCTGGTAAGGATTGCGTTTGCTCAAGTGACCCCTGAATTGATCCTCATCCGCGGCCAGTTGTCCTTCCCTGAGTCACAGAGGCCTGGGAGACCTTGCTGGGGAAGATGGAGGAGAAGAAAACATGGGGAATCTCAGATCTATCAACAACTGCTCTTCCTTAATTTGTCAGTGGCCACACTTCATCTTTGTTTCTTCTTTAAGTGTTCCTGAAGTAGTAAACATTGATTATGGTGCCCTTGACTTGCCTTACAGGTTTAGACTGGACTTTGATCTGGACTATTGTTGTGCTTGGAGGATGCTGTTCTCGAACACCGGCTGTACTGAGCTCTGCCACACGCCTTGGCAATTGATTCCATCACGTTCACAGCTCTGTCTCCAGCAGTAATGGCTCCAGCTCATCCTGGCTGAGGGCATTGCTGCACATTTGGGCTGAAGCATCTCAGCTGTGGAACCAGGCAAGCTCTGGCTTGCCATGAGGAAACCTGGTACCAAGTGTCCAAGACCCAGTGTGTGCAAAGGCTTTGCTTGAGAACAGAGACGGGCATGGCCAAAAGAGAGCTGCACGTCTCTCTAGCCCAGGGCTAAAGACCCAGGATGAAATGCCTAAATTCACTCATCTGCAGACATTCCCCCCCAGCTGGGAATAATAGATCCTACCCTGTCACCTTCCTGGTGTCCTGCCTAAATATGGGACAAAAAAAAGTGATTCTCATGCCCAACTCCTTTTCTGATAGGAGAAATGACACTGCTGGAAAGAAGTGTCCCTCCCCAGCTGAGGGAGGGAACCCCCGGGATGGCTTCAGCCTGTTTCCCAGCA